TGAGGTAGCCGGTGCCTACTTTTTTAAAGGTTAGCAAGTTACGATGACTCCGTGGCGCATTTGCCAAGGTATTGGCTTCGGCGTCGGGGGTCGTGGGTTCGAGTCCCACATGGGACAACTATTTGTGTGACCCACAGATAGTTGTTTCATGTTCGTAACATCAGGTGAACCGCCAGCTCGTACGCGATTCCGTGGTACTTCCCCATACGAGGCCAGTCCATTAAACGTCTACAAGGCTCACAATCTCTCGTACGGAACTCGAGAAGGTTAAACGGAAATAGCATATCATAGCTTTCGCTGCAGTTGACCATCTTAATGTCAAAAAGGGAGAATTATTTATTGATTGACTTTAATTTGTCCACCCCTAGACAGGCGACGTCTACTGGGGTTCTTCTTATTGTTGTTTACTAACTTTTCGCCTGCGGCTTCGCTCGCGTTGAATCCCTTAAATAAATATCTTTCATAAAAAAAATTCCAATTAAAAATAGCCACAACAGCAATGTCCTTTCTCGGACATATAGACTCTAGACTATCTATGTTACCAAATTTCATTAAATCGTTTCAGTAGTTTTGGCGTGAAAGCGAGACAGACAGAGTTAATTTCGCATTTATAATACATTAGTGTGGATTTATTCAAATGATAACAAAATCGACATATTACTGCAATACACTCACACGCACTGAAGACCATTAGAATATGTACAAATGCATGCTGCAGCGGGATCGATCATCGAGTCAAAAACATGCGTGTTCGTCCGTCCGTGCGATTACCCAACACGGGGAAGCCTTAGCCGTTGTAGGTCGACGCCAAATACGAGCAAAGCGGCGCGTCCACTCCGACTATACAGGCGTGTGCAGAACGCACGTTGTACGTTAAACGGTGCGCGTGACGTAGCGGGCGTCGACAGCTTTCCGCTTCCGCGCCGCCTCGTCTTACGATGCGCAGATTTTTTTTTTGCTCATCACGATCCTAACTAGCCAGTGCCCGTTATGTTAAAATGGCGCGAAAAAGCGATATCTTTGAGCCTTTCAAAGGGATAACGCAGTTTAATCGTGAACCTTAGATTTTAGTAGTATAATCAGAATTAAATAAAAAATACTTGTCTTTATAATTTTTTTTTCTAATGACAAAGTGACTTTTGACTTATGAAGCTATGATTAATTGGAACAATATTTTTAAGAAAACAATCGATATTAATCGTAAATTACGTTCACAGAAAAAGTTGAATATTATGTAACGTTTTTGTAAGTTGCAATTGTAATACATCATTGTTACTCGGTACACGAAATATTTTTAATAAATTGAAAATTGCCAAAGAGTGCAATGCAATTAAAAATTCCTGACATTTAAAAAATGAAACGGACAACTAAGGTAACTTTGTATACCCTTAGGGACTCGATCAGGTCGTCCAATATTTATAAGTGGAATGAAATATAATAATAACCACCCACGGTGTTGTCATTTAATTGTTATACATACTGCTAAATTAAAATACACATTTTGTAGGTAAGTGTATCATTATTGGGAAACGGTTTTATTAATGAGGAGACATCGAAGACGTTTTCATTTGCATACAAGTTGTAGAAATTAATTGGGCTACGGACAAGACCATAAGACTGGAAACGACCATAGGAAACAAGTTCACCACTTTTAACGTTCATTTGAATTCAATCATTAAAACATGAAATTAAGGAAATAAAGAACAAAGAAAACTTCCATTGTCATTTCTTTAAATCCTAATCTATAAAATTAAATACGTTATTCACTATACATAGTATGAAACAAATACGTCCCGCTGTCTGCCTGTCCCTATGTATGCTTAGATCTTCAAAACTACGCAACGGATCTTGATGAGTTTTTTTTACTAGATAAGAGTGATTCAAGAGGAAGGTTTATATGTATGTATAATATATTGAATCCGATATATACGATTAAGCGGTTCCCAGAATCCCTATATTTAAGCTCTTGTGACGTAACTTTACTGCAGCAAAACAATTTATTTTCTCGGTTCATGTCATCGATATATCCATCGTCAGGTCCTTTGAATACTATTAATGGCTGAGTACAAATACAAAATAAATCCGCAATATCAAGTTTTCCTTTTGTACCAAATTAGACGTCCAATGTATCGGTATTGGAAGTAATTTGTTCAACAAAGCAACGTCATGTACTGTGCAATCAAAATATAAAAACCAACGCAACTTTCACCGAAGCTTATTAGCATCAAACCAACAGATGTTATGTCCGATACAGTAGTGTAGCCTATTTAAGCCATAACAGAGGCGAAGTAACTGAATACTTATTCATAACTTCTGATATACATATATTTTATGTATACAGTTAAATTTATTCATGACGTCGTAGGCCTTTTAGCACAAGGATTAACCAATTCTATGCCTCACCTGCAAAGACGATATGCGGCAAAATAACCGTGGTTATATCATAAATATCTTCAAAAACAACACTTTATAGACTTGGCGAAATTTGTGTAGGTTGGATAGAGTACATAACCGATGTGCATGTATGCGTCGATATCTAGACTTTGAACAGGTTAAACGTGTGCAATAATGAAACAGAAGAAAGAAAAAAAGAAGGAAAGATATAATATGTTGTCACGTAACCATCTCGGTTACAAGCGCGAGTGTTCATGTACTGAAAGAGAAATCAATAGCGAACACTATTGCTTTGTTGCCTCATCGACAAAGCCATCAGGTTGTCGTACGACTTTACCCGTGGCAGCGTATTGTACTAATTAGCCATCAAAACTCTGTTATTACTTTTTGGCAAAATCCTTATCCTATAATCATAAACACCGAATCGGACGATCGGCATGGGTATTAGGGAAGGAGAGTACCACTGCAAAACCTTCATAGCATCTGTCCCTGTCGCATCGATCGGGGACACGGAAGCGCGTAGACGCTAGGTACCGCGACCCCGGTACCTCCATGACCTTCTCAGACCTCCTCTCACCGGGTCCTTGGACACCTGGTCCGGTAATATCGTGCTATATGGATGCAACTAACGAGGCAACACTCACGAGCCATGTCTGCTGCCCGGCAGCCAGCTATCAAGGGGAACTCAGCGCGTATAGCCCTTCCTTCTCCGTGTTCTGCGGCGGCGGTTATCCAGGTTAGGTTAAAATGCCATCGTACTTAATGAGGAGCGTATAAATAACCGCTTTATAAAACAACAAGCGACCCGCCCCGGCTTTGCACGAGTACAATTATACATATAAACCTTATTGAATCACTCTATCTAGTAATAAAAAACGCATCAAGATCCGTTGCGTTTTTTTAAAGGCACACATAGGGATAGACAGACAGCGGGACGACTTTGTTTAATACTATGTAGTGATAAAACCAAACCAAGAATCGTGTAATGACGAGTACGAAATTTCGGCTTAACGCGCCTCATTTAAATCTCGTCAGCTGACGAATGAAAGTACAAGTTAAAAAAGGGCACACTGGTTTACTTGATTTGTTTTCTTGAAGTTTAACGACACGCTAGTTGACTGATAAACGGTACATTGAATTCAACCTATCGATAGCCGGGTCATCCAAACACCAGTAAAAACTAGATAATTACGTGTACAAACTTAAAAATGAGACAAAATACGGATGTGCATATTTTGTCTCATGGATACTGCTGCTACTTCCTGACCGTTATCGGTCAAAGCGCCCGCTTCTGCTCCGCTGTTGGGCAGCAATGTAAGCATGTGCTCTATCGTGACTCGAATAAACAATTTTGTTGACAAATGTCCACGTGTACGCCTGCGTTTGGACACGTGGGCACACCACGGACATAATTGAAGCTTATTGCACAGGTCAGGCTATCAGCTCATCCGGTCTGACGTCCCGCCCAGTACGTCGACGGGACTCAAATTCAGAGGTGTCCTTTTTCCAAAGACCACCATTTAGAGCAGTTGGCTGCCCGCTTCTCCCACTGTGATGGGTCAATACCACAGCTTTTTTTATGGCGCACATCTTTGTACTTGAAGAGTTGCCCTCAATGACTTTGCTTATCCTGCTCAAGTTCTGTATAAAACTTTTTTTTAAATAAAGCTTTGCCACTCCACCACACCCTCTGCCATCTTCGACACGTATCCTACGAAACGAAGATGGCGCCGCCTAAAGTAGACCTCAATTCCTCATACTTTGTCTCTCAGCAAAACTTTGGTGTCCCGTAAGCAGTCGGACTACCAGACCTTTAAGGCATTTTAAGTGAAACCGGTTAAAATGCGGATATGGCGACGATAAGTTGTCCACACGTATCAGATGAATATAGAAGATATCAAAACCTAACGAACACACTGAATCACTAAAAACTTAACTCCTGACTTAAAGAATTCGACAAGTCTACAAGTCTATGAACTAAACAAGTACATTTTTAATAACAAAAACCAATACAGCCTCAAAATATCCCGCTCACTTTATGAGTAACCTCATGTACCATATCCATTGCCCAAAATCAATACAAATAAAATTAATATTGGACCACATGGGAGCTAAACCAAACTCAATGTAAATATATATTTTTAAAACAGATACGATATATATATAGATAGGCCTACTAAGCTATACGGGAAAATGGACATCTTCAGCATGACATGCAACAACCACTGTGGTAGGGCCACATAGCAGCTTCAGCTGTTGCAAGAATTGGCAGGCTCATCTGGGTAAGTATCACAACCTCACAGAAGACCGACGGAAAGTGGAAGTATAATACTTTCGCGTTTCGTTTGGTGAGTGAGGTAGCCGGAGCCCAATTTTCAAAATGTTGTCAACGCATCTGCAACCCTCAAATGTAGCAGATATCCATAGGCGGCAGTTTTCACTTAACATCAGGTGAACCGTCTGCTCGCTAGGCAACTTTTCACATAAAAAAAACCAAATGGCACATGTGGATACAAAGAAACATTATGTAAAGAATGTAATATGCTAAAACTTTAAAAAATTGTGTAATAAGTTACACAGCACTAAGTAAAATATGTCAGTCTCACCTGGTCTAAGTCAATTTGCCGCAATGGCAACGATGGCCGAACATTATTTGAGTTGATTGAACTCATTCTTGCTTCAGCTCTCGTTCATAAATGGATACAAGGAAATTGCACTAAAGCCCACCGCAATTCATACAAGTATAAAAATATAACTAGTCACAAAACAGAGATCACAGTTAACTGTTATTTAAAATAACATAATTTGTTTATTTCTTTAACTGAAACGGCACTCCTCGAGTTGTGTTCTTGTCTGTGCTTGTTAATTCTGTAAAAAATAATACAAGGTATGTTAAGAAATAGTCAAATAATTAATAATCTAATATATTCATTAAAAAGAATATTACTCATAGAACTAAGTGAATGGAGTAAAAATTAGACACTTCTTATGTGGTGATTGATTATTTTTAGGAGTAAAACTCCACTATTATCGTTAGTAAAAAAATTTAAAAAATTTTGTTTAAATGAATAAAGAGATACTTTAAAAGAAACATTAACACTTTTTTACAACTGAACTAGTTTCAAAATCCCAAAAATATGAGTTATTACAATATTATAACAATTGCAAACCTATATAGACACATTAAGTGGGTAATCAGACAAAAAGTAATGTATATGGTATTGAGGTAAAATTTGATTAACTTAACAAATTGATGTTGTTGGATATCTCTCTAAAATGAAAAATATTTTCATAGTCTTGTCATGGTATGAGTATAATCATTTATGATCATTATCAAACACCATGCTCTTACAAAAGTAGCAGCTCATTGTCCTTTTATAACTTCAAAATTTATTCTGTATTCCTTAATTCTGAATAATTTCAGCTGTTGAAAGTTTATTCCTTGTTTAGTACAAAAGTTCTAGTGTTAAATACAATAAATTTAACTATGTAAATAGGATTAATAAAACAAAAAAATATGCTATAGAATCCATGTAATCCAATATGTAAATAAATAAGGTACACTACCAATACTACAACAAACCTGAACTGCAGACAGACTAAAATATGCCTATTATAAAAATTGAAGAATCAGCAAAACAAAGATGACAATTTTAAATCATTTTACTTAACAGCGATGGTAAAAATTTCGAAATCACATCGAATTTCTACCCACAAGAAATTACAAAATAACGACAGGAAAATATTAAACAATTACACACTAACGTACATTATCTATCAATAAAAGTAAAAGTGTAATGCTTATGACAAAGAAGTCGAGATTTTGCAACCAACAAGGGCAAACGAAAACATGTTATATCAACTTCCTTACACACATAAAACGTACCTTTCTGTTAAATTTCATGGAAGATTATTTATGCCACTATGTAGACGCTATTAAATACATTTAATATTAAACGATTGGCCTAATATAAATTCCCGTATCCTTTCTTTCTTCTAAACCTATTACACTTATCGAAGTGTACATCACCTGAATTTACCTGTCAAATCGCAGACAAACGCGACAAAATAGAAAATACGCTAGAATCAATTTAAAGATCGACGAAGACGTACAATCCAAATCAGCAAAATTATACTTACGTATCGAGCACCGTTTTACACTGTCATCGACCACATTTCACTTTGAGATCTAGCACGACACATTAAATAATTAGATTCCTAACACTTTTGTACAATGGCAGTTGATATTTTTGTAAAATAAAGATTCATAACTGCTAAAAGAAATATCAGTAGGCCTTGTTTCAAATAACCATTTCACGCACTTCTATCGTCAGATGAAAAAAGAAAATATACACACATATACATATACAAGCAAGACGATGAATATCTATGGTTCTCTATTCTTTACGAAGAGTTTTGTGTGGCAGCTTAAAAATATGAATAGACCTGATCAATACATTATATCGCCATTTTAAAATTACCAGAAAGAAATATTAATTATTTTCCTACATAAATAATATTTTATTTGCTATGTGGACGTAATTAAAACAGCTTAAAGCGAATGGTTAAATATAAAACATCATTAAAGTTAGTAGTAGGAAAGTTTATATTTAAAGCTTCATTTTTCTTGGAAATTGGATTCTGAAAAAACATAGGGTTCTACAAAATAAAAATATTATACACATAAAACCATTTATCAGCTAAATATGATATATTCTATTTCATTTCCTAATAATTCCAGATTTAAATATTAACCTCAATTACGCAGCCCACTTCGATGCATTTTCATAATACGCGTTAATGCATAAAAGATCACACAATCCAAGAACCCCACTTGAGGGTCAAGTAGGGTTCGAAACTTGGTTTGTACCGCCATCGGTCTTTCTATCCAGAGAAAGTTAAATGGTTGAAATTGCGAACTGCTCGTGATTAACGAGATATACCTGTATTGAACGAAAAATTATATAAATTAAAATACGAAAAAAATATTGTACCTGAATTAATCCTTTAGATTATTTTTGGATCACCAACCCAAGATACACAAAAGTAATCATTTCCTGAAAACAATTAGTTTTTGAAACTAAATGAATAAATAATGATATACATACTCACTATTAAATAACAGTAACAACCTGAAGTAGGTAGACGATTCTTAAGAGGGCCTGCACACGAGGGTATGGAGTATAAGCTGCAATTCGGGTACCCGAGATTTGCTAGCGAATGCACTGAATCTTAGGTGTGTTTGACAATGTATGTATCGAACATTGTACTAAGCTCAATGGGGTACTAAGTTCTTTGTCCAGTTCGGGACCATTATGTACCCACCACGTCCTTATATACACGCGCGCTGCCTGGTGACAAAAATTTCCCTAGACTTATTGAATTATCCTCAAACAAAGACTCATATTTGAGGCTTATAAGTTTCTACAGAAAACTCAGATTTTGTGCTCAATTTCATTGTGCCATTGCTCTGCTCATCGTTATCTCATTTCTAAAAATTAAACCAACACGGTATAAAATACAAAAGTTGCATATAACTTGCGCACTGTTTGACATGCGCTGTCTTTGATTGATTTGACATAATCTGTGTTAATTACTGATTGTTTAACTGTAAATAACATTAATCTGTGAATCTGTGTTGCTGATCTGACCGAAATAGTTTGTAAAACAAAAAAAAAAACATCTGTTTTTACAATTGTTTATTTACGTTTGAGTTTGACTGAAGTAGTCTGAAAACTACGAACAATCGTTGTTGATACATTTTCCATAGTAAAAATTATCTCTAATATTAAATTCTACAGCATACATAATGTGCTATGTGATAATAACTGGGCGCAGTTTAGCTTGGTTGTTATTGAGTTTGGCTGCATTTATGTTAATTTTGACCGGTATTATGACGCCTAAGTGGCTACTGGGACCACCTATAATTACAAATGATAATAATGTTACCGGATTTTTTGTGCCCACAGTTGGTATATATAATAGGTCAGTACAATCCACGCTAATGTAACAACTCCCCAATCCAATGAGGTTAGACTTCCTTTTCGTTATTTATTGTCCTGGTTCGTTGTATATAAAGGTATGTCTGCAAACAACCATTTACATAAGTGTCCTGCGATATTCGTCTAATCTATTCTTTTTTAGAATGCACTTCTTATCGAAATTGGAGAAATACCGATCATTCCTTTAAGATTAAAGTACGGAAACTATTTCTGGATAAGTTAGCTGATCAATCGCATCATGAGTTACTACAGTTACTAGTTGTTTATATTCATATTAATTAATTATATGTAATGTATTGTTTTTATGTATAGGGGTTTATGTATGTTTTGCAATAGTTGTGTTTATTTATACTTTTTTATTTATAATTGCATCTGTATTACTCTGTACAGCACATATGTATTTACTATTTGTGAATGATGTGTACGCCTGTTATTGATGTGTTTATAAGTAATTTTAATTATGTGTACTTCTAACGTTTTATTGTACCTTGAACATGTTTTTAGTGTACTCTTATGAATAAAATAAAATAATAAAAATAAATAATTTTACGTATTTATTACATTTATTTAAATATTTTTTTCTTTACTTTAACACCTACTTATATTTCTGCTCCACCGGTTGATTGGTAGAGAATACCTCAAGCACAAACTCTGCCACAAGTTTTGTGTAGAACTTAAATCTATAAATAAGTACCATTTAACATATGCTAAATGGTACTTATTGATACATACTTATGTATGTTTTATATCTTATGGATTTTATGTGACATAATTTGAAATTTACTTTGCACTATGATTTCTTTGACCCATACAAAAATAAATTTCCATTTTGGTTACACGAAATGGTAAAAATTAATTTGTTGGATTGCAAATTTATATGAAAGTAATATAGATTTGCATTCAATATTAAATTAGGATGTATTCCATTTCAGATGTATCCGTATGGGCCATGATCACAATCACTGTGCATCATTCTCTTTCTATGGGCTAGCAACAGATTCAACTGTTTATCCAACTCCATGGAAAGCTGCTATGTTTTTCTTGTCTTTAAGTAAGTAAAAACAAATCAACTGATATTTTTTGATTGTATCATGATGTTGAAGGGTTAACTATTGTTTAATATAGAATGAAATTCTCACACCTCCAATACATCTATCTCCTTAACTTTTTGTTACCTCAAGGGTCCAAGATTGTGTACCATAGACAAAAATTTACAGTGTTCAATTTTGAGGGTAGTTGTAAGAAAACGGCAAACTTCTTCTAAAAAATTGGATGTCCTGGGTAAAGCAAGGCATTATCCATCGCCCTCAGTTTTACAGAGCGCAGATGCAATTGCACATAGAGTACTGTTTTCATCTCTTTCCGGTTCCAGTCCATATATTTGACTGCATCCAAGATAGGGCTGCAATCGTCGGCAACCAAATCCTTACCACTCGTCTCAATTCTTTGGCCTTGCGAAGAGATGTTTCACCTCTTTAAGTTTTGTCACCTCTGAGGAGTTGTTTGGATTAATACCTGCTGCTGAATTTCGCCACCGTTTAACGCGTCAAACTGCCAAATACCAATAGTTTGCAGTACACGACTGTGCATTTTCATTTAACTTTCTAGCATGCAGCACGCACTACTAAATATTTTTAGGACACATTTTTACACGAAATTCTCTTTTTTATGTGAAAGGTTGCCAAGCGAGCAGACGGTTCACCTGATGTTAAGTGAATACCGCCGATCGACAATTACCGTACAAATATCTGCTACACCAGTAAAGCTGGGTTCCAGATGCGTTGACAACCTTTTGAAAATTGGGTCCCGGCTACCTCACTCACCAGACGAAACACGAAACTATTATACTTCCACTTTAGGCCGGTCTTCTGTGAGGCCGTGGTACTTACCCGGACGAGCCTGCCCATTCGTGCAACAGCTGCCGAGGCTGCTGCGTGGCCCTACCACCGTATAAATACATATTATACATATATACAGCGTGTCTTTACCACCGCGACAATAAATGAACACACGTCTAACGCTACTTGCCAATAATCATAAAAAAATATTAACGTTTAAAAAAATCCATAATTAAAAAAATATATTTTTCAAACAAAGTAATTAAGTAAAAAAGAAACAAAATTTATAACATCCTATACAACTACAACTGAGTGATTCCTACATTCATAGACTTTTTCATTCGTTGCCACAGCGCCGCATTAAAAATCTCACCTTCTGACAGTATGTTTTATCTCTTTTAAATTCATTCAATCCATTCATATGCTTTGAGACCTTTACAAATGAACTTTACATTAAAGTTTTATACGTAAGGGTGTCTAAAATTCTTTGTTTTGGAAAATTCGATAACTCGGTAAATATTGATGTTTAAAGAATGTAAATGTTTAATACAATTTTAAAAAGTTATCCTCTATATCGTGGGCGTAGAAGGAAAACCCGCTAAGTCCATTTTTGGCTAAAAATGCGTTCTTTGCGTCCACATAATGTTTGGGGGGTTCTGCAGTAGAGTACCGGGTCTCCATTAAAAAAAATCAGCCGTTGTCCATATTTCAGGCTAAGTCATTCAGCTAAGTCCTGAAGGAATAATACGATTTTTCACGACTTATTGAATTTTCAAACCCATTTATCTCCAAATGACGAATTTTGGACTTAGCGGGCTTTTCTTCTACGCCCACGATGTGTGTTCATTTATTGTCGCGATGGTAAAGACACCCTGTATATATACACCCAGACACTAGAAAAACACTTATGTTCATCACACAATATTTTTCCAGTAGTGGGGATCGAACCCACACCCTCTGGTGCAGGAGGCAGGTACACTACTCTCTACGCCATTCGGGTCGTCAGTTTTATTAGATACATTACTAGCCATTATATTACATTACCGATACCCTAAGGTGCGGTTCTCAATGTTCCCAGCTACCGATCGCGTTCGGCATACTGAATTTCGACGACGCAAAAAGCCAAATCTTCAAACCGACAAACCTATCACATCGCTAGTGCACAGGTGTCCACTTCTGTGATTATAAGCTGAGGGGCCTGCCAACTCAAGGAATTTAGCTTTTTTTTTGTTTTGTCTCCACACTGAAAACTTAACTTTCACTAATACTAGACTAACATTTAATAATTGTATTACATTTCATCTACAAATATAATGTAATTATTTAATCTAAACTTTTACTTTATTACAATTACCCTTTTTTATTTTGTTTTCAGGCGCTGCAATACAGTTCTCCACAGTTTTAGCTGGAGTGTTAGCGTGTTGTGTGCAGTCTGTGTTTAAGAAGAGTGTCATATCCCTTGCAGGGGCAACTCAATCCCTAGGAGGTATTATAATCAAATTATTAAACAACAGAATAAAAAAATATTTAACGGGGATCCCACACTACAGAGATGATTTTATTGCTGTTTTTATAGATAATGGTATGGAAACTTCGTGCGGGAGTCCGAATATGCCTGTAATAATTTCTTATATTTATGCAAGCATTTATTGAAACTATTTTAATAGATTCATCGCCCTTTTTTTAATTCTATTTCTTGATATCTTAAATACTAAATACTGCAGGTGAATATCATTGTTATACCTGTCTATGGTCTACATCTTAACATTATTAGTTTTACTAAGTAAAACTATGTTTACGGATTTATCGCGTTTATTTTTATTATCTCCATTGGCTTCTGTCCTGCGCTACTCGAGTGCTCTTCTCATAATGGTGGTAAATTTTTGGTTACAGAACGCATTCCTGACGAATAAAACATGCCTATTTCTGTGGAGAAGGGTTTAGATTTTTTATCTTCTAATCTTGCGGTTCGCCTGATGTTAAGTGATAACATGCGCTCCTTCAGTGAGGTACTTACACGGACGGGCTTGGCCATACGTCCATACGAAAACGACTAATAAAGTAGACTGTGTACTCGACTAAATTACTAGGTGTCCATAAGATTTGTTTTACTCCAACATTTGAATGAGAACATAAGAGAAATCCTTTAAATTATTCTAGCATATCATCCACCTGCATCATTGAAATTGTCAAAAATTTTAAAATATCCATAGGAACTTTTTGAAACGCTCATCAGTGTGGTCAGTATTGCAAGTTTTTGTATGTTTTAGGTTTGTTTGGTGTGCTTGGGCTTTTGCTGTATCCTTGGGGATGGGGTGCACAACGAGTTAAGAGGCTTTGTGGTGAAAATTCTGAACCATATATTCCAGGGGACTGCTCACTCGGTAAATGTCTATGTATTTGTAATGTATTAAGTATGTAACTAATCTTTTTTCCTATGTCATTTCGCTCAATTTTTTTTCCCCAATAATGCAAACCGGGGCAACAAATGCTATTGCACACGTTAATTAAAGCAAATTTACACATTTTTTTTTGGTATTGGCACTCCAAATATAATAAATACTGATTATATTTCGTCCCGGTTTTTCTATTTGTTTTTATTGTGGAAGGTGTTGGGTAGTAAGTCCCAATGACCACTGCGGCCTTTCGAAAATATTGCCCCCTTACGATAGTATAACATTAACCTGTGTTGTAAGGATGCTTTACATGCATACATTTTATGTGGACAAACACCCAGCTCCCAAACAACTATCTGTGGGGGTCACAAAAATAGTTGTCGCGTGTGGAAATCGAACCCGCGGACCCCTGGCGCCGAAGCCAATACCGTGGCAACTGCACCACGGAGTCATCCAAGGCCCAGTTAACTCATTCATCAAATACAATTCTATGAGATCATGGTAATTCCTCGTCCAAGATTAACCTTTTATGCAAACATACCACAGTAAATTTAAGACAAAGTTAAACGGGAACAAAAGTAACTCAACTTGCTAATTATGCATTTTTCTCACATTGTGTCTTTATTGTTTGAGAGCTAGTAACAAAAAGTACAAGCAATTTAAATTGTTTATAATGCTAATCTCTGCACTTAAGATTAAACATTAAAATTTGTAAAAAAATTACGAAAAGTTTGTCTCCGCTGTAATGCAGGAAACGAACCCACGTCTTCGGCATTCGCGGCCTGACGCTTTAGCCATTACGCTAAATGGCTAATTGCCACACCGACGTAAATATTAACGTCTCTTACCTGCATTGTTCTTTAGCATTTGATGCAATGCTTCGTATCAATCTTTCCGTACTTTTTCTACAAATTTTAAAGTACAAGCAAGCTTAAGATGATTTTTGTGTCAATTTAGGCTGGGCATTATTCGTGACTGCGACGGGCGTTGCCCAGATCTTCCTAGCGAGTGCTCTCTCCAAATCAGCGGACAAGGCCGCCAACTCGGACAAGGTTCAGTTTCAAATGGACGAAGGGAAACAACTCATTTGTCTGGCTTAAAGTTAATCGTCTGCATATCTTTTGTCTCCTATAAACCTCGAATATTCTCATATTGGATGCTTTAAAATATCTTGTCCATTGTATTTTATAGTATTATACTTCATTTTTTTTAAATACATAAAAGAAGTATTTATATCTCTTATAACTCATGCTGGAATTGTAATAATGTTGAAAATGTATTTCAAAAAATTCATTTCACATCAATAAGTTGTGCATTTAAGTATTCCTAAGAATATCAGACACAAAATGTGATGACACAGCACTTTTACTATTGAATATTTTTATACTCTCTTTTAAATACTTTACCAAGATTAACCATAGTCTATAAACGGACTTCCATTTAACTTAGCATTAGCAAGGGCTGGTGTATTTATAACTGTTGTTTGTCGTAACGTAAGTTCATAAAATTTAGAAATAATTTTTGAAATGAACAACCATTAAACGATTTTTAGTCATAGGAAAGCAAAGACATTCAATTCCTAAAATACTCAATATAAGACATTATATAAAATATAATGGTGATATCCTTAATCTATTTTTATCTTTACGGACTTGTAAGAAATGTAATGCATATACAAGTTTCCAGTGCTAAAAATAGAATGTATTTTTTTAATTAATATCGACAGGTGCCATAACTACATTTACAGCTTTAATTTTATTTTTTCGATCAGTATTATTCAAAATTGTTCTTTAAAATTAACTTCTTATATTGGATTGGTTGTACATTCTATACGAAAAAACATATTATAAAAATTTTACTGTCTAAGAGTCACTTATTATATTTATTTAATTATTTAATCAGGCTTACCAACTAAATACCTAAAAAAACAATTATTATTTTGATGTGAAGCACTTAAAATTAAGTTTAACATTGTATACATATATGCATAATTTAAATATTCAAGGTTAACACAACATTGAATAAAATACTTAATTTTAGGACAGTAACCTACAAAACTAGCATTAGTAATAAAATATGAAAATTATTTTTCTATAAACTATTTAGCTAATTATGTTAATATGATTGTTTTAACATGGTTCTAATATGACTTGTCGTGAAACTCTTTTCAGCAAAAATAATGATAAAGTCTGGTAAGTGTTTTTTTTTGTAAATTATCTTAGTTACTTACTCATTTAATAACCAAGACTACATGTAGTTTTAAAGTCATAACATATAATTAAATACTCATAAGTGCATTCATTTGATTATTGTCCAATATATTAATAATGAAGGAAATCATCTTTATAAAACCAATGTTTTCTTACATTATGCAAAATAATATTAATATAAGAAAAATATATCAGTTGTTCAAAGTTTTTAAGCTTCTATTTGGAATGTGAAGGTAATTAAATTTCACAAAGGTTTTTTTAAAGATATTTCTGTATAAATTATAATGATTTTGTATATGAAGATATCCTGTCAATGTTGGCCAGTTTTTGGATGGTGGATTGGTGCGATTCATGATCTACCCATCCATACGTTTGTAACGTTATTTGCATTTATACTTCTAACAGGTGTACTTTCTTTTTTTTTTTTAGGTTCTTTTCAAGTAGAGGATTTTAATAAGAACTTGACTGACATTTATATAAATATTTTATAGGAAGCTGCCAATTAACACATAGATATTGTTTTATTGCAAAACTTTATTGTAATAAACAGTTTACCTTAGATTTATACTTTAATCTGTTATAATACATTTCAAAATTAAAAATATACCTGTGGCGTGGCTGCACAGCTTCGGCTGTTGCACAAATGGGCAGGTCCACGTAAGTACCACGACCTTATAAAATACTGGCGTGAATTGGAAGTGTTATGCTTCTGCGTATCGTCTGATGAGTGAGGTAGCCGGAACCAACTTTAAAATGGTGGCACCGCATTTTCAACCCTGTGGGTATTGCATATGTCCATGGGTGGCGGTTATCACTTAACATCAGGTGAACCATCAGCTCACTTGCCACCCTCTCACGTGAAATTAGTATATATTTGAATATAGTTTTTGATCAGATGAATAGGATAATGGCATTTTGAAAACTAAATCAATCATAGGTTGGGGCATGATTTCATTCGCTTCCATTGGCTTAGAATATTTTACAAAATGTACATTATTTTGAAATGTACTTTATTATTGTGTTGGAATTGGTGCTTTAACATGAATATGCGTATTTTCAAATATTATTTATATTAGGTATTAAATAAGGTGAATATTTATAAGCGTATTTTATAAACAAATTGAGTTGACAAAAATTTTGTGTATGAAATTATTCAGTGCTTTAAAACAATATCATTTGCCCTAATATTTATTAATAATTATATTAAATATATTGTGAACTCTGTCGGATCGTCAGGTAAGCCAGTGGTATAAACCAATTGAGTTTTTTCAAACACTCCAGTTATAGTTTTTACAATGTAAGACTGATTTCATATGTTAATAAAAGTCAAGTTATTAAAAACATATGAGACCAAAAGTTATAAAAAATGAAAATTAACCTTTTAATTCATTGACTTGTTCCTGCTTCACTTTTTAAATTATTTTGGAACATGTGGTGCATTTTATACAGTTTAGTTTGTAAGTTCCTTGTGTAATCTAGATATTTCTAATATTATCAGTTAAACTTATTTTTAATATGGGTCACTTGATGGATTTCAATTACATCACTTAAATCCAAATTCCTGCATGCCATATTAGTATCCAATGTATTGCTGTAATAGTTGTGAACGTGAAATTGCATTGAACTGGCAATGCATTGAAGTGTTCAATTTAAAAATTGTGGTCATTGTTTGTCGAGTGAAATGTGATGAACATTTATAATAAATTTTTATAGTCTTATACATAACTTATTTTGTACTTATGATTTATGATATTTGTAACCTATTAAAGTTAAGTTTTTACACGCATTATATATTGTCTTTTATGGAAATATAAGTACTATTTTACTATTTGTTTTTATTTTTAAATTGTAATTTCTTGTAAATAAATGAATGAAACTTTGGGTGCTGTGGCATTCGAACCTGCATCTACTGGATTCGCGACCAGACGCAACGAAGCTAAGCAGCCGATGACTTCTCTCTACTCCTGTTGCATTTTTTAGCAATGCTTTGCGTCATCTAGTATGCATCCTTTTTTAATAATAATATTGATAATTTGTGTTTGTGTTTTAATGTGTGCGTGGTATGTGCATGTGTGTGCGTGCGTCGGTGCGCGTGTGTGTGAGTTTAATGTGTAGAGCTTCAGTTTCTTTATAATTAAGTGTATATAGGTATTTAGTTAATGTTTGTTTACAGTCATATTTGTTCAAAGTATTAATTGTTATATACTTACTACATTTGTTATAAAGATAGGCACCAATGAATTTGTAAGAACGTTGCGCATAAAATGTCCGATTTTGCCGGTTCTGATGATATATAATATCTTTTCTCAATCTCTATTATATTTTTACTCAATCTCATGTGGTCGGTTGGAGCTTCCAGGTGCTTTTTTAAAACAACAGATAAAATAAATTAATTAGACAACCTAACGGAAAGTACCTCGCAGTGATTGTAGAAAAGATTTGTAGGATACAGAAATGGTTAGAAAGTACAAATCTTTAGAATTGTCCGTTATGCAACTTCTAAACAATTCAAGTTCGTTTTAGGTATACCTCCCTAAATAGTGATACAGTAATTTATTAAAGGTTGACAAAGGGCTAAATAAATACTTTTGAGTAAATGAGATTCAAGAACATATCTCAATTTCTTAAAAACAGCTATAAGTTTTCGCAGTCTATTACTCACAAGGTTTACGTGTTTAAATTACACGTTACAATTTTGTTTATTAGGTATCAAGCATGACGCCCAGGTATTTTAAAGCATTTGTTCTTTTAATTGGTTCACAAGAGCATTTTTGATTTACTGTCGCGGTGCATGTATGATACTTAAAAAATTGCTATATATCAAGGGAGGTGGTACGAATTCCGAAGTAAATAGAATTAGTCATTTTGGCGTTTAATTTAATAAAGTTTAGCCAAACTACTATTAAACTAGATTTGATATAGGACAAAGGGTTAATTATAAATATAAATATTTAATAGTAATATAAATTTAATTATTAATATAAATATTTTTGCGTTTATGTGTTAAGAAAATACTTCTTTAGTGCGAGTCGGACTCGAGAACGAAGGATTCCGTAGCATTATCTATAAAAAGGGCAAAAAATCAGGTCTGATGTACGGGAGCCCCCTTAAATATTTTTTATTTTATTCTACTTTTTAGTATTTGTTGTTATAGCGGCAACAGAAATACATCATCTGTGAATGTATTAATTTCAACTAACTATCACAGTTCATGTATATATAAAATATAATACAGCCTGGTGACAGACAGACAGGGTCCCGTTCATGCTCTTTGGGTACGGAACCCTAAAAATGAAACAATTTTGTTTTAAAGGGAAAACATTTAAACAGAGTCCGTACGGATCATTATTGCGGATACATTTTAATGTATCCACAATAATGATCCGTATTTTTATGTCATTTCTATTATTTTTATGTAATTTCAATTAACATTTTAATGTAATTTCATTGATACCTATTATAGGTATCCTGGATACGAGAATCTATAATAAGAATTCGCTAAAGGTGTTTTTCACTGCCTCTTCGGATGTGAATCTTCCGCTGCAGCTCGAGTAACGCCTGGTTGACGATGTAACGATGAGTAAAGTGGGTGACGAAAGGTTTTTTTTTTCACTAGGGTTGCAGGTGCGGTTGAAAGTGCGCCAGGGTGGCCTTACTTTCCAAAGTATAGTCATTCCACTGCATGTTGGTCTTCAGTCAGCCTGTGCATTTGTGCACCGGTAGAAGCTGCTGCATCGCTCTACCACAAAAAAAAGGTTTCCAGTTCCAGTTTTGTGTGTAGTTTCGAGGTCTACTGCACGGCACTGGACGTGCGTTGTCTTAGAAGTGGAGTAGGAGCAATTAAGCAGTCTAGTTGCAAAAGCGAAGATTAATGTTTCCAAAATATA